TTTCCTCCAGCTAATAAACCCACTTGTAGTCATCTCTGTAATACTAACTATACTGTTAGCTGTTCGGCTGACTTTTAGAAGCAGCTCTTGCTCATTTGAAACGTGTAAAGAAAAGCTACGATATACTGTTTAGTCACAAACTGAAGATCATGTGATCAAAAGCTCCAGCTGTCAGAGCTGCAAGATATTTTCCATCAGTTGAGAGAACGTTATCGTTCCATTTAATTCCCCAAACGTCTGTAAAAGTTTAGGAAGATGATGATGATCTGGAATTTTTTTTTGGTGCCTTGTGTATGTGATAAAAAAAAAAACAACATTTGGGATAATGTGTAGGCTGCTCTGGTCCTTGCTGTTCTTTGTAAATAGCATGCTGTCCTCCAGATGGGCGCTGTATCACTCTGGTAATTACAGGGAGGGGGGTAAAGGGGAGGAAGAGATAAAATAGCAGAAGAGGATGGAAAGATGGTAAAAAAGACCACAAACCAAGAGACATATTAAGACAAAAGAGGACAATAATAGACATGAAGAGGAGAGAAAAGCGAGCCAAAGAGCAGAGAGTCGGCTGGAGACGAGTGAAAATTATAAACACAGTGCAAAGATAAGCAGAGGCCAAAAAAATAGATGCAAGGACAGGATGATTAAGGAGGTGGAGAGGGCTGAAGAACAGAAAAGGACAACAGAGCAGCATCAGCTTGCTGGTACGTTCTGCTCCTTGCCGGTACTCTCCTCGAAATAACATTGATTAGAGACCCTTTTAGTCTGCAATAACCACTTGTTAAAATGTACCGTAATGCAAAGAGCTGCCCTGCCTCCTTCGCTGCCCACACACAGGCTCTATTCTCAGCCACTGTTGTGGCTCCGCTAACAGCCTCTGACAAGACGAAGAAGTTACGGTGAAGGTTGATTTCAGTGAATACGTGACTGTAATTCTGGAGAGTGTTCAACTATTAGCAGCTGTTGCTTAAAGCATAAAAACCTCAAATGGGAGGTGTAATTATTGGAGTATATTTTGCAGATATTCCAGTTTAGAGATCTGGAATTTCTCTGTAGTTATAATATGCTTCATGAATTGGAAATTTTAGATGACTTTTTAAAATTGAAATTTCATGAAAAGTGACATTGCAGATTTTAACAGTGAGAAAAACACAAATAATCTACAGTCACACTGTAAAAAAATGCTGATAATCTGACAGCAAAGGTGCCAGAAAAAAAATGTCTTCACAACAAGGTGAGATACTGTGATGTTTAAAACCTGAAAAAGCTGTAACAATGATGGAAAATGTCTGTAAACTGATTTTTTGAAGCCAACTGAAATACAGTAAAACTAATTTTGTGATCACATGATGTAAAACATATGTCACAGAAATCCGTTCAACAAATCAAATATAAACCCTTCTGAAGCATCTTTACAGGACGAGTATCACCAAAGAGAGCAGCATCCATGTCAGGATTGTAGCTGAAAAACTGTATTAAAAAAGATCATAATCACATCTTTAATAATAACAGCAGCATATATTTTACACAATACCAATAACCTTTGAAAGTAAAGACTCTGCTGGGAGACTCTGCTCTTTAGAAGAAAGAAAAAAAAAAGCCCTATATATATTAAAAGAAGCCCCCACAAAGCCCTATAGAGCTCTAAGGGTCTTATAATTATGACTGTTCACTGTCAAGAGCAGAGATAGGTGATGTTATTTATGGAGACTTGAAATAAACCCTCAGCTTCCTGTTTCTGCTCCAAAAGTTTTAAAAAGTTTTCAAACTAAAAATAGTCTTCAGTCATGTACTTTGTGTTCCTGTATTCTGGTAGTTTTTGAAAGATAATCCAATATGTGTGTGATATTGCATTGTTAAGGCAGGTCGGGGAACCCAATGCAGGTGGAGCGAACAAAGGGATTTACTGAACCGGAAGTGAAAGTGAAAACCAATACAGAAAGTGCAAATTAAACCGAGTGGAAAACCAGACTGAACTCCAATAAAAAGGACAAAACTACAAATAAAAAACAGGGAAATGTCTCAATTAAGAACTGAGGGAAAGCCTAAGAAATCCTAAGATGGAAAAAAAAAAAAAAAACATTAACTAAACCAAAAACGAGAATACTCACAGAACCGGGTACAAAAAAAATCGAAGAGGCAGACAGGCTCTGGGAATCTGGGGGCTGGCGAGGGCTGAGGAAAAGCTTGAGCAGAGCTGGTGGTAGAAACAGGTTAATTGAGGCTGGATCGGGGCAGCGAGTGAGTCGTAGTTGCAAGGGGGTTCAGGTGGTGGTGGTTCAGGGAGGGCAGGCAGGAGACAGCTTCAGGACCATCAGGGAAACAAGGTTTAACGTCTGTGGTCTGGCAGTGAGTGGTGCAATGAGCTGGGTTTTACTGGGAGTGAGATGATTGCGAGCAGGTGAGCTGATCCCCACAGCTGCCTCCAACACCTGCAATTAAGCAGGCTGCAGACAGGGCTGGATGGACTGGGAGGGTGAGGAAGGAGGAGAGAGAGGGAGAGGAAGAGGAAAAGAGGGAGACAGGTGACGGCTGATGGCTCATGACACAATTTGCAGGTCTGCATGAGACAATCTGGGCGTCCCTATAGCTCACCTAGTTGCTCGGTGACCCATGAATAGGGGCTGTAGTTCCCCGATGCAGCGGTCGTGGGTTCCGCTCAAGACCCTTTGCTGTCCCCATTCTTCTCCCCCCTTTCCTGTCTGTCTCTACTGCTCAAAATAAAGGCAACAGCCCCCAAAATATATATAAAACAAAAAAAACTCAAGGCAATCATAACATAAATCATAACTCAAGGCTGGAGTAAAGAGGGAGCCCATGAGTAGCAGTGACACACAGAGGGCGAATTGATGTCAAACTTATTGTGAAATAGCTCAAAAGTTTAAAAATTTCCGTTTTTAAGGAACCCATGCTGTCCCATTTTTTCCCATT